GAGTAGCTGCTGGAAAGAGATTTCTGATATACCCCCTTGTTCCAAAGTGACAAAAACCTTGTCAGGAACAAGGGGGTACATCAAAAATGACGCCACTCACAAAGTTTGCACCTCCACGTGCACTGAGTTGGCACTCTGAGTTCACCAAGGAGCGATTTGAATTCCAAAATGCTTTGCTGCGAGAGGGAAAGAAGAAACCGCTTGACAAATTGACAAAGAAGATTAGAAGTGGCTCCAGATCTTATTGGAGGTGTTAGAACTATGTGATGGATTGGTAGCTGCTGATGTAATGTGCTTCAACAAAAACAGCACACAAGAAAACAACTGAACCTCCAGAACTAAAGTTCAACTCCTCTGCATTTTCATGTCTGCATCACTACTAAAAACTGTTTTATTTTTGATTCTACTAAGCTCCCATGTTGCAGGAGAACACACCTCTGAAATGTGTGCAGTTCACCGTGCCCACTGTTTTATTATTATACAAAGAGATGTACTTTTCAACACTCTGCGCCTCTCTTCAAGGAGAATTGAACCACACCGTGATCTGCTGATCCGCCATTTTAGAGTGGGGGAGCCTGCGAGGGCCCTACAAGTGGAAGGCAAGCAACATCTGTGTGAAGTCTGGGCAGAAAGAGTGTTTCTGCATGTGAGGGATCGGATTACAAAGACAAGTCTTGGCAGATAAACTAGAGCAATATCAGTGTGAGGAGAGTGAGAGTGGAGGTTTATTATCATACAGAAAAAACAATGACCCGGTGTTGGCAAATGCATGTATGATGAACAAACCAAATGAAAGATGTACAGTAGAAAAGCTGACACACACACACACACACACACACACACACACACACACACACACACACACACACACACACACACACACACACACACACACACACACACACACACACACGACGACCACACACACACACACACACACACACACACACACACACACACACACACACACACACACACACACACACACACACACACACACACACACACACACACACACACACACACACACACACACACACACACAGCGGCTTTAGAAGAACAAGGTGCTGTGTGTGTGTGTCTACTGATCTAATAGTAAATAATAAAGGAGGTGCTAACCTCAAGGAGAGGTGGATGGCCAGAGAGATGAGCACAGACTCTCTTTTATCTGCACTTTTATCAAAGGATTGTGGGAAAGGTAGAGAAGCGAGTGTAAGAGAAGCTGTAGGAGGAGGAGGAGGAGGAGGAGGAGGAGGAGGAGAGAGGTCTTCTTCCTGAGGTGTTAGAGAAGTTAAACTTTTGCCTTGCTGTCTGTGTGCAGGAATAGAAAGAGGTGGTTTAGTGGTGGACCACTATCCCTGATATTGGTATGAAGTGACTTGATTTGGAGCTAAAGTGGGAAGCTGCTGTGATGGCGGCAGCAGCAAAAACTCCTGAACAGCAAACAGAACGAGTATCTCGTCTATTGCAATATGCACACATGTCGGCACAGTTAGGGAGGAGCCTTTCCCAGTACTGATGAAAATAGTAAGACAATTGCCACGGTAATGAAGACATGTTGCAACCCCGCTGTGCCCGCAGGGGTAACACACTGTTCTCTATCTTTCCGTCTCTGTCTCATTCAGCTGCTGTGAGCTGCAGTAGAAAGAGAATAGGAAACAACTCTGAAATATGCACCATATGCCCTGTGAGTATTTGTACGTGTGTGTGTGTGTGTGTGTTTGCATGCGCTCACATACATATATTCTGTTTATCAAATAGTATATTATTTAATGGATGTAAAGTTTAGCTAAACTTGCACATACACTCACAGGCTTAAAACACTCGTCTTAAAAAGATTAAATAAAACAAAGACCCCCGTTTATTTTAGGATTGAGTGTTCAGGATCTTACCAGAAAAGCACTGTTGATACAAATATTATACAAATAAATATGTAAAAAGACACGATTTTATGTGCCCCAAAAAAAGAGTATAAAGCTAACAAAAGATATGAGAAGCTGCTACCCATCGGTACTTTATCGAAATCTGTTCAGAATGTGGTTGAAACGTGAACATTTAAAAAAAGGCGGAGATTTAGGAAAGTCAAATTGATTTCAGGTAGCAGAGATTAAGTGGACTTTTAGTATGTTATAAAATGTATCTAAATGCCATTCGCTTCGTATATCTTTTAACATATAACCAGTTCAACAGGATTTGCTAGACAGATTTATTGGCTTTAGAAATCCTTTGCGTGCATACATTACAGCGTTATTCACAAGTTTACAAGTGAGGTGCCACCACAGTAATGGCGGCTTGTCTACTTCTGCCTACAGCCTGGATTTATCTATACTTGGGATTCTTGAAAGGGGGAAGACATTAGCCCATGATGGTTTCTTTGTAAATAGCATTAGGCCTCGGGTTTAATGAGTAATTTCCGCTTGTTGTCCGAGAATGGAGTATGTACTCTATGAGATTCCCACGTTCCCTAGCTGCATCCTGGAATGTTATCTCTCTCTCTCTCTCCTACTTCCACCTCCTCTGATATGTGGATCAAACGGTGCCGGGAATTTGCCCACAGCCGGAAAAGTCATCAATCAGCCAACACTAGGCACACACGTAGAGTTGTACACACACACTAACATATACACAGACCAGGCCGATTGGAGCTTACAAAGATACATACAGAGAGTCTGAGTGTAAGAGAGAAAGAGGGATCATTACCTTACATATACAGATCCTAGATGAGACATTTCTAGCGGACAGCAGTGCTAATAGAAAGGGCAAAACAGTTCTGAACTGGAAGTTGAGTGCAGCCCTGTTGACAGCACTACAGTCTTCTCACTCCTTTTAGGATTTAAGAGCACAATGGTCACATAAGCCACATAATGGACAGCACCCGGGACTCCTCACAATACTTCATAGTTATTTTAGCTAAAACTGAGCGAGCACAATGAGAAGGTGGATAACACAAGGCTAAAACAATACAAGCAATCTCAACTTCTGTAGGCTAAATAATTTCCCCCTAACAAATTCATAAAAAAAAACATCTCACATCTGTTAACTGCAGTTTAGTCAGCCTACGCCTGAGTTTCATACCGTTTGTTGCCTTGCTAAAGTTAGCTCTGTTTATCACATTTTATTGTGTGTTGGTGTTGTTTCTCAGTGAGATTGACAGTATTACTGAGTCATTCGTACTATTTAATATATACTAAAGTAAAAAAGTGAACTGTGAAAGTTGTATTCTATCCCACACACACAGAAAACAAAGAAGTGACAGATGGCTTAAGCTTCAGTAAACAAATGCGCAGTTCAAGGTTGACACAAAGAACACGGACACGTGTTGAAGGACACAGACAGACACACGAACAGAACACACACACACACACACACACACACACACACACACACACACACACACACACACACACACACCTGACCTTGTGTGAGCAGGGTACAGTAGGAGGCTGGAGTAAATATGTGATTCAGACGACGAGTGAGAAGAACTGTGACTATCTGCCAAAAGAATGGGTTGCCAAACACGAACACATTTTCCTGTAGTGCCGAAAGTGCTTTAAAAAAAAAAGAAAAAAAGTTCTTATTGACATCTACATTTGACTAAATAATTTTCCAGCAGAATCAATATGTTTACAGGCTATTCAGCCAATACAAAAATGTGACCCCTTTCTGGATAAATGCGAATCCTACTCGGCATGGAGGAGTTGCATGCTTGGTCTAAGGCGTTTTGCTAGCAACACATGTTGATTTGTTGTGTCTACACAAACTGTATTGCTTGTGTGCACTCTGCCGTTTCAGAGAATACTGCAACTAACAACGTTTTTAGCATAAACGCTTTTGTGTGTCTGAAGCTTTAGGGTGCAATGACAGCAGAGGGACATTGGTGATAACTGAGAAATAACTGAACAGGTACAATATATAAGAATTTCAAAACACTGACTACATTGTAGAGGTTCTGCTGAAACACTTATCACACTGCAAACAGAACATTCATGTGACCAAGAAGAAGTGCACCAATTTAGACTGAGGGCTCGTCTTCCCACTGCCCAGATGAGATGACTCAAAAGCATTGGGTGGACTAAATGTATTGTGTGAATCTATCGTGCTTTCTATGATGTTTTCTATGTGGTTTTCAAGGACATTTGATATAGGTAACACAGCTTGAAGTGGGCATTTCAAATGTCTACAGTGCTTCTTCTCCCTCTGATGAAGACATGCTTTATGTTGAAACGTTAGCTGCTGCACCTAATTAAAAAGGCTCTCACTATCCTGTGTGCTTCAGATGTCATCATTCTACATCCTGCGCAAACTGTCATATCTGTAGTGTTTGCATTTAGCTCAGACATAGCTGATGAAATGAGATTTCTTTATTCTTATCCCACAATGACCTCACTTCCTGTTTGTGTCTTTGCTGCCAATTTTGTCACAGCAAAACAATCTGCGATGAATTAGTGAAATGTGTTTATGGCAGAGAATAAAAAACTGTCAACTACAGTATGTGAAATTGGTACCAAATGCTTAATAAGAAATGGTTTCTTGTTTACGCGTTTTTGCTTTGACTTATTGCCTGATTTACATCATGCTCGTGATTTTATACCAGAAAGAAGCATTTTTTCGTAATAGTGTTAAAATCTGTGTTTTTTTACTGGCACCATTATCAAACATGTTAACCACATAAGACTAAGCTCTGTAGACCACACGCAATAAGTGGGTTTTGAGTAATTTAGGGTTCAATATGCAATCAACATCCATTAATAATAATCTTATGAAATCCACACTATTTATTGTTTTAACACAAAATGTGAGGACATTTTTGCACAGTTCTACACTGTGGAAAACAGAACATGTGTTGCATTAGAGTAACATGAACAATATTGACTCCTCTCATACTTTAACTGAATACATGGTCATGACATATCAAAACAGTATCCCATAGGGGTTTCGAGCAGAACTTGACCATGACTTTTAGAAAAACACAAATATTTGCTTTAAAAATCTTGGTTTTTGTGGGACACTAAGATCTGTTAATAATAAATTAAGTCAGGAGATGTTGGCAATATCTGAAAAAACACTTCAGCAATACATCAATTGATTGCGTCGTGAGTCACGGATAGTGCAGTAAACAACACTAACAAAACACATATTAGCAAAGCTGGAAAAGAGAAACCCAAACCCTTATCCAGGCAGAGTGATCTGACATTACAGACGGCAGGGTCAGGGGGTCCGGCTCTTCTTAAGTTATCGGAAACAACGAGCAGCGCCTCTGGGACTGGGTCAGTGACCAGCGGCTCCTAAAAACCACTGACCCCTTCCTGCAGATTTATGACAGCCAGACACCGAGGTGTGTGACGAGTGTGTGAAGTGTGTACAAGGGTCAGTGGGCGGGTCAGAGGGGACACTAGAGGATGAATGCCTTTGGTGTACATACAACAGTACAAAGAAGCGCCTCCTGTGTGAGTGTAGTCATTAGTGCTTTCTTCTCTGTGTGTCAAGGTCAAAACAGAGCCTGATTACAGGGCATTCTGGGGAGCAATGGGGAGTGTGTGTGCGCACACAGAGGCTTCCCTCTGAACGCAGGCGGTGGTGGCATTCCTGGCCCTAGGCGCTGGCTCTTGAAGCCAAATCTCAAGGAATTTGGGAAATGTGCGAGGGGGCATATGTGTGGCTCTGAACAGGAGAATGAGATGGTAGAGTTGATGGAGGAGGGGGGAAGGGGGGGGAGAAAAGAGGGAGTAATCCTTTTCTTTTTGTCTTTTGTGGCCCCCTGGAGGGTCTAGTCAGGATAGCAACTGAGAGGCTAGGGATACCAGGTGATAGGAGGGGGGTAGAGATGGAGGTTGAACAGGGGCATTCAACTCCAAAAAAAAGCCCGGCATGATTAATAAGAAGTCTGAGAAAAGGCTGAGGGCAGCAGCAGTGATGCAACAGTAATGGTGAGGAGCAGGTAGGTTTGAGTAAGAGACCGCCCGCCTCTCATGTGAATACCTGACGCATTAGAGAGAGAAAATAAGTGACTGTATTACCTTTTCTTCAGACTCCAGCTCTTTGCTGAGCAGCTTCTTCTCCGAGCTGTGCAGCTGCCTCTGTAGACTCTCCACCTTTTCCTGCAGAGCCTGGAGGAAGGGAGAGACAGATTCAGTGGTGTAGGGTGACTGACGGAAAAGCAACTCAGATCTGTGCGGTGTAATGTGTAACTGATGCAAAATGATAAACTACAGTTACATTGAGGCTGAAACTGAGAAAACACAATCAACACGGCCAGAGCCACTGAGAGAATATTCAGGACGGAGAGAGGCAGACAGAAGCAGGGACCGTGAGGCGAGATCCAGCCTGTGATTAGTATTTGCGTGTTAAAAGGCTAATAATACAGTCATGACAGTAATTACTGGCAAGCTGGCCTCATTAAGACAAGACTCCTTTCTAGACAAGAGCATACAGAAAGAGACACTTGCTCACTCAGGGAATTAGCCAGCTTCCATAGGATTTAGTAAAGTAGCATTCTTTTAAGAGTCTTTTATTTATTTGGGGGTGAAAAGAGAGACGTACTGTATCACTCAGTGATTTACAACACATAGATGAGTTGATCAAAATGGTGGCAATACAAATGTAATCTATTTTGCTTCCTAAGATTCAGGCGTCAAATAAAGAAAGAGAATGCAGTGTATGTGTGAAGGACTTCTTTTCCCTCCTCTCTGCCTGTAAGTGATAGCAGTGGAAAGAAATGTGCAGTTCCTGAATGCACATAGAACCAGATGTTTCGAGTGCACATGTGGACACTTCGACTTTGATTAGTCGGCATGAAAAGCAGAGAGAGAGAGAGTGATATGCGCTCAAGTGCACGCACACACACCTGAACATAAAAGCACAGATTTACACAGTCTCACACACAGTCTCACACACAGTCTCACACACAGTCTCACACACACACTGGCTAGCGTCAACATCCTCAGAGTGTCTTCCCAGTAGAGTTGAGTGAGTGGGCCAGGTGTTGCCTCGCTGATTCTCAGAGTTGATGGAAACAAAGTCCAGGTGATAGGCATGACCGGCCAGATCTACAACACACTACACTCACATAAATCACACACACACGGTTAGGCTTCAGGGCCTGGTTGAACTTCTAGGTAGCAACACTCTGAAACCTGAAATTGAAACCTGCTAAATCTGTGAGAAATTCACCTTACATTTTCCTTTTTCTTTAAATTGTAATCATTGTTCTTTTAATAGGATAGCGCCATAGCGTGAACCCATACCTGAACTGCTTTGACCCGGTGAAATGAGCTTTATAATGTACCTCTTTCCTTGGCAGTGCTGCTAATTTAAGCCTCTGGCAGATGGATTTCTAGATCAACAAGCGTTACTAGACTATTATGATTCTGGAGCATGTTGAGGTCAGCCTTAGCTCTGCAGCATGAAAGGCAGCTGGTTTTCCAGCGCGTTGATCCTATTAATCAGGGTATTTCTTAGCCAGTCACGATCCCATCACAGCCCACATCCACATCCAGACCAACCCTGTGCCTTCGATTTCATCATTTCATTTTGTTTGTTGGTGAATCAAAAGGCTCGGCGACAGAAGAAAAGGGTTTTTTGGTGGAGATTAAGCTTTTTATATAAGACTTCTGATTCCAGTGACCAAAGCATGTCAGCGTGAGGTTGGTTCCTTTCCTTTTTCCGAATCTGAATCGAAGGTCAAAGCATATAGATCATTAGAATATGTTGAACAGATTGTTAAAGGTCCTCTATTATACTGTTTTTCATCAATATATAATAGGTCTCAGATATATACAAACATGTCTCTGAAGTGTTTGGCTCCAAATAGCAAACAGATCATTGCAATATCCCATAATCCCCTCTGTTTCAGCCCAGTTTCAAAAGTGCTGATTCTCTGGATAAGGAGCCCATCCCCACGCCCCTCTGTGAGATATTTGGCTAAAAAGAACACAATGGTGCTCTAGGGCAGGGGTTCCCAAAGTGGGGGTCGCGAGATGATTACAAAAAAAAAAAGAAACAAAAAAAAAGAATGTATAAAAAAAAAAAATGGATAAATTTTTTTTCTAACTTAAAAAAAAAAGAAGAAGATTATTAATAATAATGTTTGCATAGACATTTTCAGGGGCGGACTAGCCATCTGTATAATTTCCCCGCAACGAAGCTCCCCCTTTGACAA